CCCACCACTCACTGCAGCCAGCTCTCCCATCCTGGCTGCTGAGCCGCCGCCTCACAGAGTTGTTCCTGTGCCCTGGTGCCCGTCCGCAGCCGGCGCCAGGAGGGTCTGCCCCTCCTCTCCATCCCACCCCCTCACAGCCACTGGGCCCCTGGCTGGAGGGTGGAGAAGGGGGAAAGGACTTTGGGAGTGGCCCATGGGTCAGCACCTTGGCAGACAGCTCTGAAGGAGGCATGCAGGATGAGACGTTGGTCCTTGGGAGGGCAGGAACAAGGTTTGGCAATTCCAAAATACTCTTTGCTCAGGAGAACTGCAAAGTTCACAGATGCACGGAATGGCTGAGGCTGGCAGGGACCTCTGGGGTTCATCTGGTCCAACCCCCTGCTCAGGCTGGGCCACCCACAGCCAGTTGCCCAGGACCACATCCCAACAGTGTTTGAATAGCCCCAAGGATGGAGACACCACGACCTCTATGGGCGACCCAAGCTGTCAACCCACTGGGCAACCTAAGTTGACCAAAGTTGTCAACAAAAATGTTAAGGTGTCTATATAGTATTCTTTCATCTTCCAAAGCTCACAGAGACCCACGGGTGAGCACTCAGTACTGCACATCCAGACTTGCAGTAGTGCTATGATGATTTGCGTAGCAGTGGGAGAAATGCCTGTTGGGGAAAAAAAAATCAAAAGCTACCGCGACTGGTTCCCATGAATAGCGGTATAATCGAGAAGTCAGACTACCTCCAGCTCCACACCTGCTCAGCAATGACAAATCTCAACATATTCTCTGAGGATCTACAGTTCCATCTATTTCGTGGCTTACAATTACTTGGTGAGAAAGAGAGAAGCACTATGTTTTAGGGTTCTCCAAGCAGAACATAATCCTGTGTATAACTATGAGATAGAAGCCAGGTTATGTATTGGAAAGAGTCTGAACGTCTGTGTCTTCTTTACAACAGAAGAAGTTAATTTCCCTCACATTTATATTCGGTGCTCATCCATGGCACTCTCTTCTCTGTGTCAACCCTGACTTCAGACATCGAGTCTGCCTGGGGCCTCCTTGCAGACACACATTAAGGAAGAACAATAAATGCAGTGTTTCTGTAGCGTTTGGTACCTGGGTACAAGGTAAATGTAAATAACTTTCAAGCAAAGCTCTATTTATGAATTTGAAATTGGATTATTGGGTTGTTGGCATAAACAGCAGCAGCGCTTCTTTTTTAAGATCTTAAAGAAATTTTCAGGGAGATGCAATTTCTTCTTCTAAGGATCTCCAGACAGTCCCTAATTTCCCAAACCTTCCAGATAAATGTCTCTTTGCCTGCGTGCATTCATGTTGAAGTGAACCGTCCAGCAGATAAACAGATAATGATCATGGAGCTGCAGCACCTCGGGCAATGCTCTGCAGGCTCCCTTTTCCTGGTTAAGAGCCACAGTGAGTTTGCCTGAAGCACATCAATAGGAAACCGAATGGATTTTGCTTTGGAGGCATGCTGAAATGAGGTCCCACTAAGCAGGCAAATTGCAAGTGAATCGGAGCTGCTGGACCATGACAACTGCTGGTGAGAGTCAAGTGCTGAAATGCAAAGGGGTGAGAGCAGACCATGGGCCAGCTACTGGTTCTGCCTGATGACCCCGTCCAGAGGATACATGCACCGTGCTGCAATGTTTAAGCGAGATCAGAGTTTACCCATGCAGAGACCTCTGGGCCTGCCCGTTGCACAGGTGAAGTCTGTAAGACACAGTCCCTGGCCGGCTCGTCCCAGGACCACCCCAGGGTATCGCCCTCTGAAGGTCCAGCTGTCTGGGCTTGGCTCAGCTGAGGCTCCCAGGCTTGGCAGCAGGCAGCAGTCTCCGAGAGCCACCCCCCTCTCAACCCACACCTGAAAGCCTGTGAAAGAACATCCACCCACTTTCCATTTTCTTCGCAATCAGTGCTCCTGTGCTCCCAAACCGCACCAGTGCTGACGGGTGGTGCAGCTTGTGAAACTGGAAAGAGGGACAGATCTTTCAGTAGGACCAAGCCAGACCCAACACCTCTCCGACACGCTGCCACCTCCAACAGGAACATCAGCGCTGAGGCTGCATCTGGCCCTGCTAATCTGGCTCTGCTAATCCAGGTGCAGGATGTTCCTGCTAACACCCGACTTCATCCAACTGAGTGTCTTTCACGGGTCCACCGTCACCGAGAGGTGCAACGCTCTGATGACAGGTCTGCAAAGAAGGTGGCCATCAAGCTGTGTGTTCAGCCAAAGCTTTGCTCTCGGGCAGCCCCCTGTTTCGGCACATGCTGCCCTTTCGGAGGTCTCTCACAGCATCTGACTTTTTAGCTTAGAATAAGGAGACAGTCGAGGGCTGAGCGTGTTATTTCTTCCGGTATAGAAGACAAGCACTGAGATTTTGAGAGAGACAGTGGCAAGGAAGCAGTTGGCAAGGGCACATACCAGTATTAAGCCCAGTAAACACTTGAGCAAATTCCTGCTTTCCCCACCTCCTGCTCATTTCATACTTGCTTCCCCTCACATGGCCTCTAAATCTGTCCCTTTACACTTGATGCCTGTGAGCTGCAGCAGCCACAGCCGGGAACATAAGCCATGTGCACTGAAACACCAAAGTGTTAAGCATCTCTAACAAGGGGCTCTTGTTTACTCGACATGACAAGATGTTGTTGGCCTTCTTGGCCACCTGGGCACACTGCCGGCTCATGTTCAGCCG